TTTCCAAATTTCACTTGGACATGCTTACCACCTCCTAAGTCTTAACACATCTCTGCACACTGATCACTAACTGGGGTGTGATTGAAATATCTGTTGCTGATGTACACTCCATTATTTGTGATAGCTTTACATCTCTCCTACAAGCTCTGTGTGATGCTTTTGGGAAAGTGAGGGGACAAGGGCATTGATGGGTGAGAAGAGGAGCACTCTCCATGGAGAGGATGAGCTGGTTCCTGCAGCTGGCTGCAGGAGGAAGGAAAGATGGATCCATTATCCTGCAGCATCCCCAATTCTCAACATGTTTTCCTGAGGGGCTGGCCCTGGAGCTGACAGCACAAAGCACCTTCCACTGGTGGGTCCTGGCAGCTTGCTCCGATGCTGACCGCTCTCACATACCCCATCACAAGGGGTCCAGCACCACACAGATGCTCCGGGTCCCTGGGTCCTTGCAGCAGGGGCTCAGAAACACCAGTGTGTGTCACTTACAGACTGTTTTAATTCAAGCAATAAATCTGCTGAAGATGAGGGCAGCAACTTTCCTGGGAGCTGGGCAAGGTGTTCCCAATAGGCTATAATGTGATGCAGCATTTTTTTTGACAGTATGGGGCACTGAAGCTAAGGGAAGAGCAACGTTTCTTGTGCTATTTTTGGCCATCTTAGAGAGAAAGAAATCTAATCATGGCCCTTGGCTTGTCATCTTTTCATGAAAGCAGCATAAGCCAGAGCTCCCACCAAGCCTCATAAAACTCCGGATTTACAGGGGACCTTTCATCTACATCCATTTAAAATGTTCCCTGCCAGGCAACCGACTATGGACGGAAATCATCATTTGAAAAGATCTTACTTTAAGGACTGTACACAGTGTCTTAAATGCTGCTTCAGTTCTTCATCCTTTTCATAAGATTCCAGCATAGTGTGTGCATCATCGTGGCGATAGCAGTAGATTTTATATGTGTCTTCTAGTGGGCCTTTAATCTGCAAGAACACTTCCCCTGTTAAGGAGAAAAACAAAGCGTGTCAAGCCAGACAACAGCATCTCAGAAGGAGTTTTATTATTCCACCACATTAGCCGTGAGCTAAAAAGGCTGGCTTCCACTTTACTTCCCTTAGAAATGATCTCGTGTGTTTATGTGCATTATTTATTACATGTATTTCTCAGCTGCTCATCTTTGTCATAGCCAGGCACCATTATATCCGTGTTAATGCACAAAAATTCCCTCAGGAAAAGGCATTAAATCCTTACACCCCACACCCCTTCATACACAGCCCCCTAATTCACTGCCCCAGCTTAATGCCCCCTCAGTGGAAGCCACACAGGAGAGCTTAACTGTGCAGGAGAGACCATTTTTGTGTCGTGGGCTGGCAGGAGGGATGAATGTCAGCCTGTTAATTTTCCTTCTGATTTTTTTTCAACTGAATATGAACTTAAATGGCTTATAACAGGAATAATGACTCTGTCTCCCATTAGCCATTTCACTTCTATCTGTTTTGCAGAATCTTGAAACGGCAATTGTTATGGCCTACAATAGAGATCTTTCTTCACACGACAGAAGAACAACCTCCACCCCTCCCCTAATTAAATAAAACCACCGTGGATTACAGCCATTTTTATATCGTATCTAGGTTTATATACAACTGAAGAGGGAAAATATTCCCATTTCCAGTCCTCCACAGCACCATTTTCCCCCAAAGAACAGTTAGAAATTTTTGGTGGCACTAAAGCAGCCCTGCACCCATTTCCCATTTAATTCTGGTGCCTAATTCTCTCAGCCTAAAACTCCTGTGTCGGTTTCTGTGTATGTAAGAAATATGATCTGAGCAGAGAAGGCATGCTTCATCTCCTCTGCCGAGATGTTAATTCAGTTCTTCCACCCTTACATAGCAGCACCCTGATCAGCATCCTTGGAAATGCACATAATAAACAACAGCAATGGCAAAAACTCCTGTCTTGGGCATTTACTGAAAATTGCATCTATGTGGCAACCAGTCCAATGTTTTATAAACAATCCTGTTGAGTTATAGCCATGATTATTAAAGTTAAAAGCCGAACACCACATTAATTGGGAGCTCTCTATTCATTCACAGAGCGAGCACCAAGCTGTCAGGCATCCTGCATGTTTCATCCTGACCAGAGCGGGCTGTTTCATAATACATTGCATTGAACTGCTCCGTCTTAAAGTGAAAAATGATTCAGTTACCACAGTAACACAGCTCTGGGTTTTTTCCCCTAGCAGCAAAGGTTAACTGGGCTGTCTAATGCATGTTGGTTTCAAGGTGCGAATAAGGGAACAACAATGACGGAGCCAAGACCACATGAGTTCATTTTAGTTACTGTAAGGCCACAGCCAGAAAAGCACCAGCATCCAATAGTAAAATGCTCTGACTTCTCTGCCTTGTGCTTAATGCTAACGCTGATGGCTAACAAAGCACGTCGCATCCCGACTTTCCCATGAACTCTGTATACAGGCCTTTATTAGCCAACAGTGCCAGGAAAACCTTAACGAGCTTTCTCTTCATCCTGCTCCCTCATGCCTGATTGGCAGAGATGCTGAGCTCTCATGGTTTTCACTAACTTTAAGCAGAGCCCCAAGTGCTTAGCACAGCCCTTGCTATGCTAACACCTCAAGTGAGGTTACATTTTCAGCAGCAAAAATGCAAGCTATAGACTTACAGCTCATTTCAGCGTATACTAGAGGCTGGAAATTATCACTCTGTTCTCCAGAATGAAAGCGCTGAGCAAGATCTGTTCACTGATGTATTGTGCCACAATGACAGATACTTTCATTGATGCTCAATGATGAGAAAAATTATGTGCGGATTTCATGGATAGGGCCTTTTAAAAGCAGATGGATTTCTTAATCCTAAAGCCGTTCTTGGTTCTGAGCCACGTGGACCAAATCAGATGAGCTTCAAGCATATCACTGTGGGAGCTTGCTTTGTGGGCCAAAACCACATTGTATTTGGGCACAGGTTTAAAAATACCGAGTCTTTTGCACACTCTGACAGATCCAAATCTGCCTGATGCCTCTTCTTAAGTGTGGTGGTCATTAGTCTCATTGAGAAAGCCCTAGGAGGAAGGCTTGAGCAGCAGAAGCAGTTTCTCCCTGTGGCTTTCAGTGGTGCTCCCTGTGTGGACAGCAGTGGAAGAGGGAGGAAGAAGGTATCTAACAGCTAAAGCCAGGTAAGGTTACTAAGTCTTAACATTCCTCCATTTACAGTATCCAGAACAGAGAGCAGAAAAAATAGAGAAGAGAAGTAGGAAGGTTATTTAACCTCCGTGGCATTTAGCATGAAAAGACCAAGCACCACAGAAAGTCCATCTACATCAGCATTTGAGCTCAGATTAGGGAGGGCTTTTGAAGCCAATCTCTCGGTAGTCCTTACATCCCATGCCTTGGCTGTGTGGTGGAGCAGTCACAGACACACCAGCTGGATCCCTTTGAGGATGGTAATTACCAGAAGACGCACTCCAAGGGCACATCTTATGCAGTCCAACCATTCAGGGCATCTCTCGATCTACAGGAACAGACTGCAGCCTGTCTGAAGTAAGACCTCTCGACATGCGTAGTATGTATACCAGGTCCTTAGCACCAACTGCTTCACTCTACAGACGTGCTCCTTACTACTCCTCAATGTGGACATAGCATAAAGTGTGGAGAACACAGACTAAAATAAGCCATGAATACAAGCAACCACATTGTTTTGGTTTCTAACCAGTGAATTAGCAGTTCTCCTCAAACTCACCATGACTGGGTTGCTTTCCAAAGTAAGATATTTCAATGCAAGATGTTTAAATACCATAAACATGATAGAATATGATGCGTGTGGAAACAGCCTGCTTTTTCTATACACTGGCTTTAACAACTTTTACACTGATTATGAAGATCGTGAAGACAAAATTGTCACCTTGCTGTGCTTTTAGAGGATGACAAACTTCCTAACTTATTGCTTATAGTGATGCAATTATTCTCCCTGCTTTTGTCTCAGCCTTTGGAAGAACATCTCACACCTTACTTGCCATCTTTTTCCCCTGACATAATTTAGCCAACTCTGTGATCCACAATCCTGTACATTTTCATGGCTCTTTGTCTGATTCTGGAGAAATACATCCTAATAGATGGATTAAATTGTTTGTCTTTACTTCTGGAGGTGGCAGGGAACTAAACGGATGATTCTTTTGGCTGTGAGAAGGGCACTTCCTGCTCAAATAGAACATTGCTTATTAAGAGTATGACTCATCGTGATGCACTTTTATTGAAATACCGCCAAACAACACAATCGCATCATACTACGTTAAGCTGTTGCCTTGGCAAACCAGATTGAGACATGCTAGGATTAATACTTTTCCCAAGCCTCACATGCTTTAATATCATATTTCTTAGTCAAATGGCAACCGGTAATTTTTTACCCCATTATTTGCGAGAAGAGGATTCCTTTCTATAACATGTTACCTGTGGTGTGTGGTCAGTTTAGGGAAGAAAAAACCTTTCTGTCCTCTGAATTGTGGCTGGAAATTTTTTAAACTAAACTGGCTGATTTTGCATTGAAGAAAATTAAGAATCCTCACCGGATCCCTTAAAGTGGATCACCTATTGCCTCTGCTCAGAAGAAGCAGTTATGGGAGAGCTGTGCCAGAATGTCAAGTGAATAGATCACAGCCTTAACATTCATGGCCTGACCTGCAGAACATGTGACAGTTGTGACATATCCAGGGCTAACCCATTTGCTGATAATACCCACGATCCCTACAGACATTCCTGCACAGATTCCCACAAACTTCCTAGCAATTACAGCTTGCTTGCCTTTTTTTTTTTTAACCACCTCTTACATGAATTGCGTCACCAGGAGATACATGTTTACAGTGTTGGGGGGTATGGCGGTGTGACATTTGTTATCCAAATAATTTATAATGCTTTTCTTGAATGGCACAACTATGAGTACACAGTATAAGAGCTGGTGTAGGCCTGAGCAGAGTTAGGTAGGCAGTAGCTAACTAGATGAGCAGGATATTATCAGTATGTGGCACAACTCAGCGCTGCAGTTTTTACTCATACTAAACTCACTCTCTCCTTCCTTCCTTCCTTCCCCTCAACATCCAGATGGATGGAAAAAGAGCATCATGATCATATGAGTCCAGTAGAGCAACTGGACAGCTTTCACATGTCCTTTTTCCTGTGTCATGATGGACAGCTTGTAGCATGGTAGCCTCTGGGAGTGGTACTAGTTAAGTCTGATGAGGGTAGAGGACAGGAGAGTGTTATGTTTATTCTTTCATGCAGCTTTGTAGAACTCAAGAGGACAGTAAACATACCGATTATTTGCATGGGTGGTTCCACATCTGTCGTGGCTTCTTCCAACAATGACAGCAGTTTGGCTGATACTTGATGGACCAATTCAATGTTGCTAAACAAGCCATCCACGTCAAAGCGAGCAATCTAATGGAATACAAATATTAAGCAGCTACTGAGGAAGGATAAAGAAGGACATTGTGTATTACAGACCTTCTCTTGCTATGCCCTGAGTTTTCAACACTCCAGGAAGCACCACTTCTGCAAAACCTCGTATAAACATCCTCCTTGTGACTTCAAGGACACATACACAGTTTTTGGATTAGTATAATATGGTTGATGCAGCTAACAAAAGGCATGTTATCAAGTGCTTTTAACCTTATTTTGAACTATTCCTAATCTGAAAGTTTACCTAGGAAGGAAATAAATATTATCATCCGAATAAAGAAAAGATCCTTAGCTGGCTTTAAAATGTTTGTTTACTTTCCCACTGAGGAAAAGAATAGCTGACAGTGGGTCTGATCCTCTGATTAGCAGTTGCTAACAGAGGCTGCTACATAAACTGAGACCTTGGTGCTTTGGTGCCAGCTATCAGGTGCAAAGACTTCCAGATGGTGGTACCATTTCAAGTTAGTTGTCCTATGAATCAAAAAATCCCATCAAGATCATATAATTCTCACTAAAACACATTTACTATTCTGGGTATTAATAAAGAGCTTCCTACAGAGCCTGGGCGCACAACATGGACTTCAGTGAACTGCGTCGATTTACACCAACAGAACATTTAGTTCCATGTCCCTACTCATTTTAGAACAAGTAAAAAATGTCCAGGACACACACTTTTCATGCAGTAGTTACTCATTTCCTTGCACAGCAGGGCAATAGTTAATATTCAGGGACAATTGGAGATAGCCAGTGGTAATGTGCTAATCCTGAGAACAAAGGCAAGACTGATTTCCACATCCCTATTGATACTCTCTGAAGGGATCTCTCCATTAGAAACAGAATTGCTGACTTACATAGCAGCTTACCAGATGCCAGGAGGATCAAATTGCATGCTATTGTAACAGAATCAGAAATATACTTTTGGTACTAATGCAGTTAATTTCTTTATAAGCATTATAGGAGCTAAAACATGTTTTATCCATTTGGAAGTATGAAACAGATTCATTGCTAGGTCAATTTTCTAAATGCTATCCTTCTCTAAACACATTACAAACTTTAAATAGGGTAGTTTATCCGAGAACTAGCCTTAAAACCATATAACATTCTTGAAAGCCTTTCAAAAATGCAAAGGTTATTAAATTAAGACAGTTATAATCTCTAAATTACTTTTCCTGTATACATCTGGCACAGGACTTCTGACCTCCATGCCAGCACAATGCCTATATAGTATTTGGAACTACACTATGCATGGATGCTTACACACGTTAATACAGTGATAAAGGACAGAATCAAAACATATGTTTTGAGTTGGCTGGAAAAGAGCAAAAGAATACAGCCTGCTTGTCAAAAATCCCAGCGAACTCAACCAGGGAATACGCTTGCTCAGTGCTGGCCAGGCTGGGGAGGGACTCGAACGGAGACTACTCCGACATGGAAGAAAGAGCAAGGAGAAAGAAGTCAAGAACTCCTTAAAGTTACCCCAGCAGATACCAGCTCTTTCAAAAATGGGTTGGAACAAACTCTGACTGAGTTTTAAGAAAGAAATATGGTCCTGCAGGAGCTTACACAGCACAGGCTTCACGCTGGCCACAGCGTTTCCTGAAGAGGCAGTGCCAATGTCATCAAAAGCCACTTTGGCCCTTGCACCTGTGTTTTATCACCAATTTAATAAGAAACCCTACATCCAGAATACTTGGTTTAAGGTCTGTTTGAAATTATTTTTATTCTGTATTAGCAGCAGATATCATTTGTGCAGCCTCTCTGAATGCTATGTCGCCACAAACACAAATCTTCCTCTGGACAACCTCTTCTGTTCCCAGCTTTCAGCTGCACAATTTTTCTACAAATTGAAATACCATTGAGGAAAAGGTGCTCTTTGAAGTCTCAGCTGAAAAAGAAAATGGGTATCATTGGCCTAATAAGATCTTTTGCCTGAAAGGTAGTTTACGAGCCTTGCTTCTTAAATGTACCTTTTCTGTGTAGAATGCAAATTTCTGAAGCGCTCACCGGGCTGTCAGGCATGGTATTTCTCCACCACAGCTGTCTGAAAGGCTGGATAAAATTATCTTTACAACTGAATTTAACCTTGATGGAGAGGTTCTTACCATGAAAAATACTTGGTTTTATTTGTTTTTACTGCTTCTGGAGGCGCCAGTAAAGGTCTGCCAGGGCATGTACCAGGGGTTATAATTACAGAGCAGTCTGGAGAGGTGGAAGCTGCTATTGCAGCCCACGAGCACGGATACAGCATCCAAGCTGCCTTCTGGGCGAGTACCTTGATGCAGGCTTTATGCAGGCACAAGTGTCAGGAGCGTATCTGACTTCCCGCTCTCCTTGCTAGAGATGCACATCCCTTTCCGAAAAGGTAGCTCTGGACCTGCTCCCAGCACCACGTCACTGTCAAGCTGACACTTGTGCTTGCATTAGGATTATCTGCAAGCAGAATGTGGGTGAGTTGAGACCTTGACGTCACCACCTCATCCTCCGCCCCCAGCGCTCACCTGCTTGTTTCTCAGGGGCTGAATCACTTCCTTGATGCAGAGATCCAGGTCGCTGATATAGTCTTTCTCCGTCTGCATGAGTTCTGCGATGATTTTCACCCTCTTGGCCATCATGCGTCTGCTAACTTGCTCTTCGTCCTCCTGCGGTGAAGTGGCAGGGGGTGGGGACCCCGCCTGCGGGGCCATTTTTTCTGTTTAAAAGAGGGAGATTTGTAAGGAGCATTGTAATCCTGCATGCTCGCCCAGCTTGCCCTGTGCGACTGTGGGGGAACAGAACTGGTGCCTGTTGGAAATTCCCAAATCACCGTGAGGAGCAGGAAAAGCAGCATAAGAAATGTCAATCCCAGATTAGACCAAGTGTCATCCCTTCTCCTTCCTCTAAAAGAGAGCATGGGTTTGGGGAAGGAAACCATCTGTTTGGGAGTAAGGGGATAACTATCACCAGCTCTCCCTGCTTTGCCGTTATGTATGTGGGCAGAGATTTTCCATGGAAAACAGGAGAGTCTGATCCTTGTCATGCTGAAATCCAAGTATAGCTGATGCCCTTCTGCTCCTTTGAAAACACAGTCTCAATCTGGCATCTATTATGATTTGGGGGATGGGAGAAAATGTGTTGCTGTGGAAGAAAAAGGCTGTGTTTACCATAAATAAGCTTCACTGGAATAACCTTTGCTCTGTGCGATGTAATGTGGAGTCTGTTGATGGGAGGCTGAGGGCTGTTGGTACTGGAAGACAAACTTTCAAGTGAAGACAATATTACTAACGATGATGATGAAGCCTGTAATTCTGGTTTAAAAATATTTAATTACAGAAGAATATGGGAAAACCTTTAATGATCAATAACAAACATTTCTTGGAACAGGAGAGATCATTGGCATCAGGACATTCTAAACTATTTTTCCATATGTAAGACTTCAAATATCTGATTTGTTCTAAATACATGGAAATGCAAGTGAGTCTCCTATGCATAGATAATTTATATACGCTATAGGAGCTGCACGCAACCTAATTCTGATGGTTTTCCCTTTTGCTGGTTCATAAGCTAGCCTGCAGACATCCGTGTCAGCTGCACAAAGGGTGCTGAATTTTATTTGCGTGCACTGATAATCTGTATTTTTCATTAGGAAAAAAACACACACACACACAAAAAAAAAGTGAAATATTTCAGAGGCTATTCTGGTAGTTTTTCTGCTAGCCACAAGATGGTGCAGAGCACCAACAAAGATGGACATTATCATTACCGTGCTCATCTCTGCATTACCCGGGTCGTGCTTTGACAGCAGGGGCTTTTATTGCTCAGCAGCAAAGGACGGGAATCTCTGCGGAGGATCAGAGCGCTACGCCTTCGTGTCAGCTTCTTGTAGGGAGCATGCTGTATAATGAGGCAGTAGCAAACAGTATCTGATGCTTTGCTCGCTGAGAGCCAATACAGAATATATTGCAGTTGTTTGAATTGATTGTCAAGGGCGAGGTCCTGAGCGCTCCAGGGAGCATCGAGCAGCGTGCAGCTACAACACCGGGCAAGGATGCAGATCGTAACCTGGAGCTGGACTTGTGGGAAAACCAGGTGGCTTTCAGAAAAGAGGGCTTTGAGCCGTCTTCTGCTGAGAGGTGTAAAATGTAAAATGCAATGTGTCATCATCCCCAACCCCTTCTACAATTATGCTGACTACCGATATTCAGAAAGTACAGTTTTGTTATTAATGCTTCTCCCATCAGGTTTTCTATGGGGCTGATGGGACCAGTTATTGTTTCAAATAGCTGCTTCTGGGACTGCACCTCTGCCTCTGTGCTGCTAGTTTGAAACACTGAGGACAAGGAACTCAAACAGAGAAGGGGGGCTGGCTTTTCAGCCTTGTTTGTATTTAGATGTACTTTTTACATTTGAGTTTTCAGCCTTGAAGTCTGTGTAGAACACGGGCATGAACGTTTTGTCCTGAAGCTTGGACACAGACGATAAAATGGAAACATGATGAGGATGTCTCCCCCCTGCAAGGCTTGGGCTATCAAAAGAATTTTAAATTAAATCTTGCCCTCGTGAGTCAGTGCTGGTGTGAGTGCAAATTTTTTTTTGGTGGAGAGCAAAATTTTTCCTAGTACCACTGCATGGCTCCCTCTGAGCAATTTTCTGCTGGTGTTGCAGAATGAGGCCACCTTGCTTCTTGCTTACATCCTAAAATGACAGGTAATTTTCCTCCAAAAACTTACAGTATGTAACCACACTTATAAATTGATAAGGAACCACATGAACAATCCATTTCCACTGCATTTTTCCACCAAAATCAGCATTTTTCTTGAGATCGGGTGTGAAAATCTTTGCATGTGTGTGACTGTGTGTGAGAGTTCAGGGCTACTCCTGAGAAGGGCAGAGAGGACGAGACATCCTGGAAGATCTCAGAAGTATCATTTCATCTCAGATGCAGCACTGTTATGATATCAGATGGAATCTGAAGGTAAACATAAGAAACTTTCTAATCTTTTATACTGGTGGCAGGGGAGGGCATTATATGAGCAAAATAAAACCACTGTATCCCACTTCAGGCTTGAAGACGCAATATCTCGAGAGGCTGTTCTTTCAGTTTATGTCATTAGATTGTCCTGATCAAATTTGATTCTTGAATTATGTCAGGGCTCATCTATTATCCTTATTGCATGATAGATAATAATGCCAGGAAATAAAAACTATTCTCAATGGGAAGAAATAACCATGAGAAATATCAGGTAGATGCTGTTTCCTTATAGAAAACACATTTTTTGATAAATGTATCCTTTTGTTAAAAGTAATATAATTTTCCATTTTCACTCAATATGTTAACTTTTTCATTTCAGACATGTCTGTCTTTACAGAATGCAACAGCAAGATCCTGAGGTGATGATTACAGCCAAAACCTGTGATTTCATGTTCAGCTGATTGCTTTTGACCAGTTTTAGAACATTAGCAGCTTGCTGAAATCCTTCTGGAGTAAGTGAAAGTTTAATGAATGCACAAACAGCAAGTGCACATCTGGAATATCAGCAGACTTATTTCTACCTGGTAAACTGCCCCGGAACAGTTTGAAAGAGAGGATTCTCTTCCCCCCTTTCCAGCTGTGTATCAAAGTACACGGCTCTAGTTGCACAAAACAAGAGGTTCACTATGTGATGACATGGACGAAGCAACCACACATCTTAAAAACCATTTTTTTTGCAAGTATGAAGTCGAAAAATATCGCCCAGATGGAGACATCCAGCAATGCAGTGAGAGCATGGAGGAACAGAGCCTGCAATGTGCAAGTGCAGCAGCTCTCTTCTAAGCCCAGGGGAGGTATTAGGGGACCCACAGCCAGAGGAGGTTTGCAAGATCTATGGATCCCAGTTTCCCTGGCTTTCCCACCTAGAGAGCAAGCAACTCTGAGAGGTCTGCTCTATCCATCCTTCCTCCCAGGTAAGATGCTCAGGTTGGGTATTATGTTTGTCCCTGGGGACAGGATCCGGGTTTCTCCCCATCTAATGCTTTCCATCTGGAAGTGAAGGTACTGGCACAGAATATAGGAACAAATACAGAGAGGTCGGCACATGGACTGAGTAACAGAACTTCTTATTTCTTAGGCAGCATTCGGAGGATGCTGAAGGATCGCAAGTTCTGCACTCGCGCTGTGCAGATACAGGGATTTTGTCTGGCACAAGGGAGCAGTGAAGGCATAAGTTATCAAAGGATAACAAACAAATTACAGCATTACTGTGTTTTCACATGCGAAACCTGAGCCTCACACCACCCTAGATAAAATTATTCCTATGTGAAAGCAAGTCCTCGGATAGCCTGTACCCTCAGATAACCTAGCTACTACACACGGGAATGTACACCGGCTTTTATCAGCTGGATTGGGGAATGAAACGCAGGCAGCCAAGTTCAGAGACTGCTGCTGGGCAGCTTTCCTCCCCCCTCCTCCTCGAATGTCCCCCCAGCACCATGGCCCCGGCTCTGCCCCTTACAACCCTGCTTCCACCGCAGGTGCTGGGAAGGCTGCGGGGGGGGTATGGGGACACTGGGGTCCTGGGAAGTGAGGGAGCCTGAAATGGGACAAGCGGTGGAAAAGGATGGAGTGTCCCGCTGTGTGCGGGAGAAGCGGATCACATGAGCTACGACACAAGGAGTTTTACTGCAGATCCTCCTCCCCTTGTGAGGGACCACTTCATAGGGGTGTCGTCATAGTTTTGCACCAGAGTTATTCCAGTGCAACAGTCTGGTGCAAAGATGGTGTGAATTAGATCCACTGAACTCCAAGTTGAGCTTTTATTTATATATATGTATATATATTTTTTTCCTCTTGAAATACAAAAGGATTGGGAGACGGTTGTGGAAAACACCTTTTTTCCTTCTACTCTCACACACCCATAACAGCAGCATTGCTCAGGAGCAGGTTTGTCACATGGGCTGTGCATTACACATGCAAAAAGCCCCTTTTCTGCACACAGGAGGAGACCGCCGCAAGACCAGAATGACCTTGCACCAGTCTTGCGCAACAGGTTCGCTCATCAAATCTGCATCAGAGACTTCCTTGCAATTAGGTCATTCAATCTTTGATCATTTTTCTGTTCCATAAGGAATGGAAAATATTTACATTCAACACACAAGTTCTTTCTTCAATTCCTTGACAGCAGAGTGCTTTAATTATACGTGTGCTGACAGGAGTACAGAGAGATCCCATGGGACCGCTGTGGAAGGGAAGAAAGCTTATCATCAGGTGACAGAAGAATGCCCTTATTGTTAGTGCCGATACTTACAAATAAACCTTTCCAGTGTGTCATATACCGGCATTAATACACCACTCCTGTGGCATCGAGCTAATATATTAATAAAG